AAAAACGGGGAATTTTAATGTTTTTGTGCAAAACATTATATCTTATTTATATTGTTTGTGAGAGATTTATAAAAATTTTCTGAATTTAAAAAAGTTTACTTTTGTCATTTTTTTAAAAAGGAGAGACTTTCATTTAAATTTTTATAAATGATAAAAACTTTTGTTTTGTTTTGAAAATGCCTAAAAATTTGGGGATCAACCCAATAAAAATTTTTGATAAAGTATATTTATAAAAAAAGTCTCAAAAAATCATATTTTGAATGGTTATTCTAATTTTTTCTAACATGTGCATAGATTGAAATGACAGCTTCTGTCTTATCTATTTGTAATGGAGGGACAACGGTCTCAATTTCCAAGCTTAGGTCTCCTGAGTCAACCCGACAACAGACTTTTCATAGAGTAGATTGTTACTTGCCCTTGAATAAATTTTGTACACTAAATTTTATAGCGGGTGATTTGTGTCACATGAAAACCACAAAGTACAAAAAAGTAACGGGCGCCAGACACAAAGTGGTGTGTTTGTTGCATTTCATGTTTTCGCCCAGTGCCCTTGATGCAAAATACAAATCAGCCTTTTAAAAATTCTTATCATAGAAAAAAAGGTTAGTTTTTTTATCCGTACAAAAAATAGATATTGTACATGTATTAGCACAGTTATGTTCACTTTCAAATTGACCTGTTATAAATAATGGCACAACCAATAGTTTACTGTCTAAGCCCTTTTTAGTAAAAATAATTACACATAATATATAAATTTGTTATTTTAATTTAGACTACGAGTATGTAAGGTTTTTATTTCTTATTTATTAATTAAGAATTAATTATCTGTTAATTTAAAAATCTAAATATCGATCTGTCACGGTTTAGAACTGTTCACTATTTAGGCCAGAAAATGTGTAAGCGGCCAGATAGTTCAATCGCTTACAGCCGCGGTACATTATTCTGTGGGTCACAGGTTTGAGTTCTGGTCAAGCTGAAAGTTTTTCTCATCCAGTGACTGCATATAACCATGAGTTTAATTCACTATGCTCTGTAAACATCAGAAATTCAAGGACATAAACCAATAGAGTTGGGAAATATGTTGTGGTTTAGAACTATTTCATTATTAAAGAGAAAATGTGTAACCGGCCGGATAGCTCAGTTGGTCTTCTTAAAGTCATGGGTTTGAGTCATGGTCAGGCAGTTTTAAGTCAGGGTTTAGAAGTGGTTTTTCAACTGACACATGTTTTGATTCATTTAATAGATTGCATTTTATTTGAAATGGACAAAGGCAGTATTGCATGATACTTTTAGATCTACAAAAAGCATTTGATACAGTTGATCACACTATACTGCACATGAAGAAGTTCTTTTTTCTTCTTCTTTATGGAACTTCAAGCATCTGCCATATGTAATGACATTCTTACATGGTTCAAGTCTTATCTCTGATAGCAGCTGGTTGATGTGGCTGGTACTCCTTCTACTACTGCTCTGAGTACCTATGGTGTCCCCCTGATGTTCATTTTAGGTCCTCTTTTATGTATAATATATGTCTAATATATGTTAATGACGTGTCTGCAACCTAAGCAATAAGCTTTTATTATATGCACAGGCACAAGTATCAGACCTGGGAAGAAAAAATATGACCAGATTGATAAAAAAAACTTGTGTTCATCTTAAAATTGTCACAAACCAAAAAAATGTAAATAATGACCCCCTTTAAAAACATACTTTAATTTAATAGTGTATTTTTAAAGGGGGTCATTATTTACATTTTTTTTTTTTTTTTTGGTTTTTGACACTTTTAAGATGAACACAGTTTTTTTATCAATCTGGTCATACTTTTTCTTCCCAGGTCCGATACTCGTGCCTGTGATTATATGATGATGACTCAGGTATCCTTGTATCTGGTAAAATAAATCGTAAGATTAGTTAATTGACTATAAATTGTCTTTGCATCTTGGCAAGACAGAGTCTTTTCTTTTTGGTTTAAGTTTCAACTTAAACTGGGCCTAGCCTCCAGGTCACATGAAATGGTACTGCTATAAAGTGCACATCTTTTGTTAAGTATTTAGGTGCAAACCTGGATCAAATTCTTTTGGCGTCGCCCTTTGATGCTTTGCATCAATGCTTTTCTTGTTATTCACTGGCATACTCTGATCCGAATCATTTGTGTATAACAGTATACGAGTAGAGAATGTAGCGAGCTATAAATTGAATAGATTTAAACGAAATGCGGTTTACATATAAAGCTTCCATGTCTATCTACCCGATAACCTTCTTTGCAACGTGTTTTAGCAATATGCAACAGTATAACGTTCTACATACATTCATATTAGACTACTACTCGTAATAACGATTATGAAGTTTGCCTAATTCTAGTTTGAAGAAGGGTTCTTATGATTTATATAGTAATTTCTAAAATCTCTGCATACAAAAAGTATGACAAGGATGGTGGATTTTTTTATATGTGTTTTAGAAAATACTCGGTTTCACATGATGAAATAAGCAAATTTTACAAAATGAGCATATGTGAATGGGGTAAGCAAAGGGTGGCTTATTTCACAATAAGTATTCTAGCTTTCTATTTAGACCAAACTTTTGAACTTGACAGTATCAAAATGTTCTCCGTACATGTATCATTTGACCGATTTCGAAACTTCCTTTTTATTATTTTCCTGTTTACAGCGTATTGGAAAAAATAAACGCACGTAAGTAATTGAGATATGTATAGTTTATTTTACGTCTATATTTGGACTAAGTAAAGAAATGATTTGTGCATTTGTTTTACTTGTCTTTTCGATATTTACGAAACTTAGTATCACATACTTATGAGAAAGAATCAACAGATTACATTTTAAAGGCACATTATGTTTCAAAATCAAATGAAATTTGACTTCTTTAGAAATGGCAAACGTGAATTTAATAACATTTAAAAAATGGTTTAAGGGAATTATAAGATGCTTGTTGCGCTAAATGTGAAATAATTTGTCATAGTATTAGAAAAATGGAAACAAAGTAGTATTTTGGCTTCCATACAAAATACTGCATCACTATATATAAACTGTAGTTATATTTTGCCAAATATCAATATAAGGAAAAAGATGATAAAAGTAATTGGTCAGTAAATTTTAAGAAACCATAAAAGTACACACAAAAATAAAAAAAGCTTTTGAGAAATGAAATAAATGCATTGTTTTAGCATAACGTTAACGTGCCTTTAAAGGACTTACGTATGATTCACTTTTACCACTGCATGTATAACATTTTATATGCTACATTTTTGTTATTACATCCTGCTGCCGAATAATGTGTAAAGATATTAATGACAATTTTTAAAAGCAACAGTGGAATCTGAAAAAAATTAAACAGATTTAGAGGCCCATTGTGCCCTAGAAATGTTTTTATGTTTTTATTTATTATATTTCCAGAGTTTCTAGGTTTTTGTGTCCTGTGATAGTATGTAAGAAAATACTCATCGGCCTATGACCTAAACCATCCCTTGTTTCTGTTAATTTTTGCAATGAGTATAATTATACTGATTGAGTTTTTTTTCTATATTACACTTTGCTATTTTATTGACTAATATTTTCACATTCAGTGCTAATCCCTTCAAGTAATATTTATTTAACGAGCATTTTTAAAGGAGTCATATAAACATTATAAAACCCATTTTTGTACTTTATATTGAAATAAAATATTCGTTTCTTTAGCCTAATGTGCCTTTAAGTAAACATTAGACAGGTAATTGTGTATGCTTATAATTACTAAGTCTCGGTGGATTATTTCATTTCTTTCAAATTGTCATTTGTTTTTCTTGTTTCAAGTGTAAAGGTAAACTTTATCAGCGAAAACATCTTTTACAAATTGTGTTTTGGTTGCTTATATTACTATCCTAACATACTTTAACTTTAACCCCCCCCCCCCCAGAATTTCGTAAATTAACGTGCATATCTTTCCATCTTGACCAAATTATTTATCATTTCAGGGGAAAACATTAAAATTCTTTCTGGCTGAATAGATAACAGTGCAGACCATGACCATATAACACGGATGAGCCGGTAAGTCTTGGTTTGCACTGGTTTCATAGGTCGAATCAATTCCAGCGAGCAGGACCAGAAGAACATTTCAATTATCATATTGAGTTGGCAGAGTTTGGTATAGCTTCAATTTTAATTACATAACTGTTATCATCTTTACATAATCAAAAGTTATATTTTTCTTTATTATATCAGAAAATACACGAAAAAATAAGCTTCTGGTTGTTTTTTTTTTTTGGAGGGGAGGGGTGTTGTTGTTGTTGTTGTTGTTTTAAAATATTTGTCTTATGAATGAGAACGATGTTACCTTGTACATGTATCTATATTTAAAGGCACATTGTGTCCTCGGAATGGTTTTGTTTTAATTGCTGTAAAGCTTGTTTAAATACTTTCACATTCAGTGTGCTTCAATACTTTCTTCAGGTTATAAGCAACTTAAGCGCTAAAACCATTGTTTAAACATTTTACAAAAAAAAATTTGTGTAAAATGATTTAATAAGGAAGCACTTACCGTTAAAAGAAATTTAAATGTCTGATGTATAAATGTGAAGCACTTAAATTTCAATTGATTATTTAAAATTTCATTTGTTTTGTCCTAACGTAATAATAAACAATAGACTGGAGGGGTTGACTAACTAAAAAGAAAGCTTATATTTCAAACTTGTAGAATGATAAAAAAATGACATTTATTGATCCTTCCAGTTATTTGAGACTTCATATTGCTTTTTGACGTTTATTATTCTTCAGTTATACAATTTGAGTGGAATGTTTAAAATCTTCTTGTGGCTTTGATCTTTTGGTTATAGAAATAATTAATATACATGCTCATTAATTTTTTTAAATAATTAAGAGGATAAGAAAAAGATTTTGGCTAATAGAAAGTAAGTCACAACATTGAATGACAACACGTCATAAATTATTTAACGCTTCTTTACTGTGCTACGAAAGATAGGATAGAGGTATTCTCTCTAGTGCTGAAAAATGTTGATGCCACAGGTGAAACAAATTAAAAGAATTAATAAAGATTTCACAGATATCTGTGAAAAACACAAAGACTGTGTTTTGGAATATTATTGCCATTCCCATGATGTAGTTGGATGTCTAAAATGCAAAAAAGCTGAACATAGAAACTGCAAGGAAATTGACTTAATTTCGGAGGTAGCCTCGTCATTTTCATCAAGTGAAGAACTAAACGAGCTCCAAACAACCTTAAAGAAATTATTGAAGTGTAACAATGATTTTAAAAATGATATAAACCGCAAAACGAAAGATGTTAGAATTCAAGCTAAACGAGCGAAATCCGTGGTAAAGAGATTACGTACAGATATAGACGAAATGTTTGACACTTTTGAAAAGAAAATAAACCGGTCAATTGATGATATAATAAGCATGGATGAGACAAAATTGCTTAATATTGAAACACGTGTGGAGAATATATCAAAAGACCTCAATGAGAATATTTTGAAAATCAGTAACTATAAGACTAAAGGTAATATGCGACAGTTATTTGTAACAGCAAAACGTGCCAAACAATCAGTAAAAATTGTGTCTATAAGTCTTGAAAGCTTTGGGGAGGAAAGCGATATCCAAAGATATCAATTTGTACCTGAGCCAAGCATTGTCGAAATGCTTCAAAATTTGACAGAAATTGGCAGACTCGATATCATGAATAAGTGTGCAAAAGTTCCAAAGTTTGAGAAAGATATCAATGTCAGATTTCCGTGTGATGACAAAGAATGTGTGATAACTGGTGTAGAAATAATGTCAGAATCTATAATTATTGCCGCCGACCATACGAACGAATCTGTGAAAGTCGTTGACACTGTGAATAATTATTTGGCATCCGTCCATAAGCTGGATGGTTCAGGTGCGTTAATAAAGCCATTTGATCTGGTCAAAACAGAAGCAACTCAGATTGCTGTGACCTATCCTTATAGAAGGAAAATCCATCTCTTAGAATTATCTGACTCTTGCAGTTTAAAGGTGAAAAAGGAGATGGATATGAAAAATGAATGTTTTGGTATTGATCGAATAAATGATAATTAAGTTGTTTCATTCAGAAAGCCTCCCTCTGTGAAAATATTAACATTTACTGGAACAATAGTTAAAACATTTAAGGGAAGTTTTACGGAATTTCCTGATTATGTTTCAGTAAATCAAGCCCAAGATTATATGTATGTCTCAAACTGGGCATCACCAGGCCCTGGAACAGTAATATCTATAACAAAAGAAGGAAATACGATGGCCGTATTTGAAGATGATAAACTTTACGGACCGCATGGTTCCTCAGTGGACAAGTATGGTTCAGTTTATGTGTGTGGGAGATTTTCACACAACGTGTTCCAGATATCCGACACCTGCGACATAATACAAGAAATTTTAAACAAGGGCGATGGTTTGAAAGGACCTCAATCTATAACTTTTAATTGTGAGCATAATAAATTGTACATTGGCATGGAAAATAATTCCATTAAAGTATTCCTGTTATATTAATGACATATTGATCCTTGTTTTCCGGTCAATACAACATACAAAAAACAAATATATCATGTATGTGATATATCATGTATGTGATTAGAACGGAATATATTCAACGTTCTTTTATTTTAATCATATAATGTCATTTTTGATGTTACATGTGTATTTAATTCTTTTATTTACAAATATGTTTAGTTAGAATAGGATAGTGAAACAACAATATATGAACAAACTCAGATTATCAAATTATATACATGTACATATCTTAAATATGTATTTTTTTTGTTATTTGTTTCTATGTTGCATATTTATATGGGTACACTATTGCATGAAGATTTGTTTACAAATCTGGAAACAAAATGATCCCTCGTAAGCATTAACCACAACAAAATAACATGAAAATTGCAGACTCGGTTTGATTAGTCTATACATGCGGGATAATGAATACGTGCAACATTTCTTACGCCCCCTAGCACCGGCTTGAGCGGTACTCAAAGTTACCAATATTGTAACAGTTTGAAGACATTAATAAGAACAAAGTCTGGCGGTAGTAAAAAGGACTTTTTTCAAATCAACTTTTAAGGCCTTTGGAATAAGAAATATATATTCTATAGATATTTAACAAAACTTTTCTCATTTTCTTCTTGATGGTATAAGCAGAAAGGACAGACCAGACAATCTGGCCCCTGTGTTCACTCCGGGTCATTTATTTTATACTGAAAATATCACCATAATCTATTATAATATCATATTTCGAGTAACTAGGTGTGATTGTGCGGAAAATCTACATTGACAGAAGAAACATTGCCACAATTTTCATTTAGTTATACATGTCGCAATCTTTTAAAGTAAATGTTATAGGTTTTCAATCAGTTGCGCCTAACCTATGTGAGTCCCCTTAGTGACAATCTCAATTGCCCAATGCACTGTCCACAAACAATAAACTGTATAAGCTCGCAGTAAATGTCTGGAAAAGATTCCGTTTCTACACTGTTGGTTAAGATGTCTGACTCTCAACCTAGTGATCATCATTGTGAATTCGAACCCTTTACTATCGTTGCAATGATTTTTTCCTCATTCATCACCAGTACAATGTAAGCTTCTGGAGCTGTCATGACAATCAGATTAAAACTTAACTAAATATTATAGGATATCAAAATCTTCATAAGTAAAGATGGTGTCATTAACCTGGAGAGCATTTCCACAATGTTGTAAGAAAATTATAAGTCTAGTTTCTAGAGGAAGATGAAACAGAAAGATAGAATGAAGTGAAAATATAAAAAGAAAAGAAAGCAGAAAAGAAAAGAAGAATCTCACGAGAAGCATCATATACGCCACAAAATAAATTGCTATAGACAAGGACAAAAATTAACTCATTCATGGAGGCTGATTTGTGCCATTCGTGTTTTCGCCGCTCGACCCCGCAAAGCGAAAAGTCAAGATTTAACAAGTTCAAATGGCGGGGCATAAAGCGAAGACACGCTAATTAGCCGGGGCGCGGGGCGAAAAGTCAAGATTTAATTGTAACAATGCTGGGCCGCAAAGCGAAATATCTTTTGTTATAGGAGGCTAATTAGCGTGCTTCTTATTTTCCAAAGTTAAAATAACATAACTCTGCCAAATATTATTGAACCATGACCAAATCGGCACTTTAGCTGCGCATTCATTTGACATATTGATATATTAAAGTTGAATTTATATCACTTTTGGGGAGAAAATGAACGGAAACTGAATATTTCTTCAAGGGGCATAACTCATCAAAAATCATCGGACCATGACCAAATTCAAACTTGACTTTTATTTTTTTATGTTTTATTTATGTATTAAATTTGTGTTGAAAGTTTGCAACCGTTGCCAAGATAATGAACAGAAACTGACGATAACGGAATGACGGAACAGGGTAACATTATATGCGCCAGCGATGGCGGGGCATGATAAAGTATCTACATTTTCTTATCACACATGCTTTTCATATTATTATAATTATATTCCGGTCATGACGCTACTTTAAAGCAACTTATAAATAGTATTTTATGTATGATTATTACACAAATTTGTGTTTATGTTTACATTTATACAAAACAAACAGTAGTAAAATTACGGACAAAATATCCCTTATCTTATCATTATTTTTTCATGATGTTTTCTAATGCGGACATAAGTCATTAAATAAGATTTAAGGTCATTCAAATTAATTGTTTACTATGACATGGGGAGGCATATCATTTCTGTGACAGTCTTTTATCAGGTCAAGTGTATATATTCCAATCTTAAAGTGAGTTAAATAAAGGTATGTCAAACCGATTTTTATTTTCAAATGGAGAGGGCAACTTAATTTTCCGCTGCAGTCTTTCATAGGATAATGTGTGTTTATTGCAATCCTTAAATGAGATTGATTAAGGCAAGTTAAGTAATAAAACAAATCGTCTTCCATTATCATACAAAATCAATCTCGCCGTTTGTACATAAAAATGCACACGAGGTAGAACTAATGAATATAGAATACATGATGTAAATAATCTACAGGATACGTCTTTTATTAAAATAATAGCATTTTACAAAAGAAAATAATACATATGAACATGAAATTCAGTATTGAACAAAACATAATATATCACACACGTATGTTTTTTTTGCATATTTTGATTTTAAAAGTAATATTTAGATTGATTATTGTACGAAGCATTATTAAAGAACTAGTCGAAGTATTGACTAGAAACTTCATAATAGAACCGTTGGTTTTTTCGTGTAAATTTATAAGATATTGATCTTTGTCATTTTCTTTATTTTTATTAATAGGGACATAAAAAAGTGAACAAAAATCACCATTGGTGAATACATGAAATTTTGTAGAAGCTCAGTATCAAAACCACATATATTTCTTTTCGTTTTGGAATGATTCCCTTTGTTATTCAGCTTATATTCGGGTAATAACTCAAGTATATATTGTCTTACACATCTTTCACCAAAAAATATGATAATTTGTATTATATTAAGTAACAAGAGAACGATATATATATAACGCAATGTTGATCAATATTAATTCATTTGCATCGATAATAGTGATGTAGTCGACAGCAAAATAAAATTGACTTAGATAAGCGTTTTTATTAGAAAAGTATTATACGATGTTATAGAACTACAATGTGTAATACAATTACCGAATAAAACAATAACAACAGTTTTAAAACAATAGCTATTGATTTTATAAAATTCCATGAATATTTGATACATTTTATGTAGGAATTCTTGTTTTACCAACGTCACCTGGACCGTAGTAAAAATGCCAAAATGTCTGAGACAGTACCAAAAGTATTATACACAATTTATCGCTGACACCAACAACTTAAATTCCATCGTTTCAAACTAATAAACATTTTTATGTTCACATTTTCACTTAAGTATAGTCAGTAGATTAAAATTGCAATACAAAAAATTCTATATATCAGACAATAAATTATGATATTGCATTTGAAACTACTGAACTAAACAACAATTATAATAATTAATAATATTTATCTTTTCAAATTTCAGCGTTTGCAATTTTGTTTTAAAGGTTTGAATTAGTAAGATAAGAACCGTTCCATCTGCGTTTAAATTCAATTTTAAAGAGGTATTTCGCAAATATATCCAAATCCCCTAGTACATTCCCGGTTATAGGTAAGGAATCGTAGGTTAGCTTCGGTCCTTTTTCCAGATAGATATAAACATTGATAGTGAGATTGACTTCCAGGATATCCAGGATACCACTTATAAATATATCCGCTTGTGGACCCATATGAAAACTTCCATTGCGAGTTAATACGCTTTCCGTCAATGTAAATATCTGTTTTCATATCATTGTCTATCAACATAGCCTTTACACTCTCATACTTTAGATACGAATCAATGTGAACGAGGAAGCCTCCGTCACTCTTGCACACGGCTTCTGCATCCGAATGAGTTTTTTTGTTCATATACAATTTTAGGCAAAATCCTTTCGCGGTCGTATGATAACTGACAGGACACGAAACTTTCGTATTTTCATCGCTACCTTCACAAACGCCGGCTTCAATTTCATCACGATGACCATATCTTTCCCCCTGTCCCCCACAACGCCTGGTTCGAGTTTTGGTCGAGAAGAAATCAGTTGACTTTGCTCCACATTCAGACCATTCTGACCACGCAGTGCAAACGTGATAATTTTCTATTACCCTCCCAATCATTGTTATGAGGGAATCATTAAATTCCCGCCCGTAAGAAACAAGAGTATGTGCGTTCAGATTTTTCCCTGCAGTACCATTCCTCTTCAACACTTCAGCATCACAATTTGTTCCAATTAGCACTACCACTGAAGCTATAAATATAACAGATATGTTTTTCTTCATTGTCATAGTCTGACTTTGGTTGCAAGTAAATGAAACAATATTAACTGTCCAAAAACATATAAGTTCGATCTAACTTTCAAATCAAAACTAAATCCATCAATAGAATGTTCATGAATATATAGCAAAGCTACGTGCATACATTATACAAATACAAATAGGATGCTATTTGTTCTATTCAAATTGTTATCTGTTGAATCAAAATACAACAAGAAAAAACATAAACAACTGCGTGTGTCATGTATTCAAAAGAGTTTTGCCATGTGCGATATTCATTGAAATTTACATCTAAATTTAGAGACCTTATGTCATGTATGTGAAGATAAATTGAAAATATATCACCCTTAAATAATATTGATACAAATCTTTTGGTAGTTATCAGCTAGGCACAGGTACCAGAACAAATGGCACTTTTCATTGAACATCCTGTAATAAGTATAAGATTAACTTGTTTCACTTGTCATTTTTATAAAATGATATAGTTGGTCCTTTAGTTTCATTCTTAAAGACTAGGAAGGAAATTCTTAACAAACAAAAAAAAGAGATATGATTATTTAGAACAGGACAGAACATAACCGAATAGAGCAAAAGCTTTATTTGTAGAGTCAAGCCCTACGCTCCTCGTCTATATAAATACAATACATATAATACAAAATTCAAATCAGTTAAAGCATATTTACGGAAAGATAAATAAAATTGTGAAAACATTTTATATGTAACAAAGCTGATAAGAGTCATAAGATTTAGATTCCTGATTCATTTGAAATGTACAGTAGACATAAATGATAAGAAATCATGAATTGTTGAAACATTGATGATAAATTAGGTTTGAATGAGCCCTTTCATGTCCATATACGGCTGTTGTTAATGCATGCCACCATTAATGTTCCATAGTAATAGCAATGTAAAAGGTATAGAAATGCAAATAAAATAAACATGCTATGATGATTTACTCTGTAACTGCATAAAATTTCATTAAGACAATATAATTATCGCATTTTCTTATTAATAAAGACAAAACAAGATTGAGGAGTGTTCCAATATGATTACATCTAAGCACAAAAAGAATACGATTGTTTCATAGGTGTCACTGTTTTGCTTTATTTTGTTCTCTCAAGGTATTCACTTCAAACAGATACACAAAGTTTCTGTCTTCGGATCTAATCCTTGAAGGCATTTTCGTAGGTTTTTAGGTATACTATGAAGACAATGTTATATAATGCAAAACCAGGGTGTTTGAGCTGAACAAATTTTCAATTTGAAAGGTATTGTTTAGCTTTTGGAAACAAAAAGAAGTTACAATTGGGTCAAAACAATAGAGTGAAATAGAATCCCTTAATTAAAAATTCTGCAGATTCATTTTTATATAGCCTGTTCATGGACAGTACTGGCGATAGCAAGGCCGTGTGAATACGGAGGATAGGGCAGCCCAACGAGTTTTTCTGCGCTATAGACGCATTGTGCAATGACACACGCGTTGTCATACAGCAATCTGACATTGGCAAAATCTGTTGAAATGGGTCTTCGTTCTCCAAAGAATTAATAAAGTTTCCGGAGAACCTTAGTCTAGTAAAATTTCGCTTTTACAGATTTGGCTTTAAGAACAGCAACGTTAATGACGGGACCCTGAAACATAAAGAAAATGGTAAATATTACCTACTTTATACTGATTGTCTTTTTTGAAAATGCTGGTCTTTACACCCTTTACTAAGGAGACAACGATTGTTTTTCATTGGCATACTCTGATCCGAATCATTTTTGTATAACAGTATACGAGTAGATAATTGTATAGCGAGCTATAAATGGAATAGATTTTTAAAAATGCGGTTTCATGTATATCTACCCCCCAATATCCTTCATTTCAACGTGCAGTATAAATTTCTACATACATTCATATAAGAATACTACTCGTAATAACGATTATGTAGTTTGCTTAATTCTGGTTTGGAGAAGGGTTCCTAGGATTTATTTAGTAAATTCTAAAATTTGTATTTGCAAAAAAGTATGACAATGATGCTGAAAATGTTATAAAACCGCCAACTTATGTTATCTCTTTATATGAGTTTTAAAGAAAAATAAATATCAGAAAAAAACGAATATATGTGAATGGGGTAAGCAAATGTTGACTTATTTTACAATAAGTATTCAAGCTTTCTATATAGACCAAACTGTTTAAATTGACAAAATTAAAATGTTCACCGTGCATGTATTATTTGACCGGTTTTCAAAACTTCCTTTTTCATTATTTTCCTGTTTACAGCGTACTAGAAAGAAACGCACGTTAGTAATTAAGGTACATTTGTATGTATAGTTTATTTTTTGTCTATATTTAGGCTACGTAAAGAAATGATTTGTCAATTTTTTACTTGTCCACATATTACTTTTTAAAGGCACATTATTTTTCAAAAACGAATAAAAATTGACTTTTTTCAAAAAGGCAAACGTGAATTGAATAACCTTTAAAAAATGATTTAAGGGCATTTAAGATGCTTGTTGTATGCATTAAGTTTTTTCTATGTGTAAAATAATTTGTCATAAAAGTTGCCAAATGAAAACAAAGTAGTATCTTGACTTCTATACAAAACACTGCATCACTTTAACTGTACTCATGGCCAAATAACAACAGAATGAAAAAGATGTTAAAGGTTAATAACATTTAAGAAACTATAAAAGCACACACAAAAATAAAAAGCTTTTGAGAAATGAAAATACATTTATTTGTGGAGCATTGACTTACGTATGATTCACCCTTTGCCTTTGAATATATACATGTACCATTAAATGTGAAATTCTTTTGCTATTAATGACAATTTTTAAAAGCAATAAAGGAACCCGAAAAAAATAAAGCCCACTATGCCCCAGAAATGTTTGGTTTTTTAAAGTCCTGTTATAGTTTCTAAAAAACACTCATCGGCCGATGTCCTGAACCATCCTTTGTTTCTGTTACTTTTTTGCAATGAGAACAGTTATATTATTTTTTATGTAAGTTTGATTATTACATTTATTGCATTTTATTTACTAATATTTTCAAATTCAGTACTAATTTCTTTAAGTAATATTAATTTAACAAGCACTAACTGTTAAACTATCTAAAGGAACAAAACATTTGTGAGGCATAATATGTGTCTTTAAACAAATAGTAGATTGGTAATTATGTCTGTTTATTTATAGCTACGTCTCGGTGTTTTTTTATTGTTTTTTTTTTCTTTCAAATTGTCATTTTCTTCCTTATTTCAAATGTACAGGTAAACTTTATCAGCGACAATATTTAAAAAAATGTGTTTTAGTTGCTTATTTATCTGTTCTTACATACTTTAACTTTAACCCTGCTACAAATAGTAAATAGACTTGTCTGTCTTTCAATCTTGACAAAAACATTTATCATTTTGTAAAAAAAGAATCAAAATTCTTACATGCTGAAAAGATAACAGTGCAGACCATGATCATATGTGCGTGGACGAGCCAGCTAGTCTTGGTCTGCTATGGTCGCATTGGTAGAATCTGTTGCCGCCAGCAGGCTTAGGTTTAAGACCAGAAGAAAATGTCAATTATCTTGTAAAGGTTGTCATAGTTTGGAATTTATTCATTTTTAGTGACATAACTGTAAATATGTTAACATTATCAAAAGGTTACATTTTTTAAATCATATCAGAAAAGACACGAAAAAATAAGTTTTTTTATTGTTGTTGTTGTTTTACCAGTTAAAAAAATTGTATTATGAAGGAGAACGATATTAACCTGATACGATGTATGTATCTTTATTTTAAGGCCCATTGTGTCCCAAAAATGGTTTTGTTTTAATTTCTTAATGGCATTTTCTTTTTTGTGTTCTTTTATAAAGTGTCCATTTCTCAAAAACCTGAATCATATTTTGCATCTCATTAGATCTCAAATGAAACAAAAACCTGTCAAGAACTTCTCGAGTTCATGCCACCCGCAGTATTAATCCAAGTGTCAAATCCTTAAGAAATAGTCCTAAATTTGTCATATGTAAAGAAGACTAAAACTCATGAAATTTATTCGATTCAAAATTTATCAGTTTAATATTTTAAAACTGCAGAAAGCATTGAAAACAGCCATGCAAAGCAGGTTTTGTGTAGGTTGATAAAGTTTCCACCGGACAGTGTCTTTGCAAATTTGTTTTTATCTATATGTACTTAGATATGTAATTGTAAAATATTTGGTATAGTTATTATTTACATTCGTGTATACAGTTAAGGTATAGTAAAAAAAGTTATAGAACGAAACTTGAGTTATGTGTTTAATGTATTGATTGACTGTTATTGTTTCAACTACCTAGCCCAATTCAAATTGAATATTAAAGCTGAATACCAAATTTACAAAATATACGTGAAAATATGTTTCAGCAAAGTATAATACGCCCGTTATACAGACAAACATGAATAAAGCAAAGGACAGATATTTCACTGCATCAAAAATTATGACAAGTTATAAACACGTTTTTGGCAGCTGTAGACTTTAATAGCATTAAATATAAGTCTCCATGAAAAGTAAACAAAATAAATAACGGTACTTCAGACGTTACTCGACACACTTACATAATCATTTCATATGGTATTGTATAAAATCCAAGCCATTTAAGACAGGAAAGGACAATAATACTTACAATAATGAGAATTAAAAGAATAAAATTATTACTGATCAAAAGGTCAAATTTATATCAGAATTAAATGTAAGAAAACCTTTTATAACTATTACTATTCTATCTTTGTTTCATATTTATTGATATTATCAAATTGATCTGATAAACTTAAATCACTTTTTTAATTCACTTATTACTGTTTCTTAAACGATGCATTATATTTATTGCGAATCTACCGAAATAACCGGGACATTTATGCAAGGAATAGGTACGGCAATTACCGCAATTACGTCGTTTAAACACTGCAATACAGATCAATCGATTTCAGCTGGACACCAATATAGTGTCTGATAAGAAAGCCAAAGTTGCCCGTCTTGGCATTTTATGTATTTTACATCTAAGATCTGTTACATCAAAACTTATGATAGATTATATTATATTAAGTAACATGAGACACGAAATATCGATGAATATTAATTATGTTGCA